GAGCCGCCACCGATCAGGAGCCGGGCGAAGGCCGGCAAGCCCGTGGCAACGGAGGTCGGGGAAATTGTTTTTCTTCCGGGATGCAGCCCGTTTCCTAGTTTGCGCGCCGAATTTTCGGGGGCGGAAAAGAGGGGGGTGATGACTAGGGGGGGGTGGACATCATGGCGTGGGCCATGATAGCTCCCCAGATTTCATGGCGCCTCTTCTCGCTTCATTACGTCCCTGGCCCCCCCGCTGGGCCGCGCACATGCCGCCGGTCATGATTTGCACCCCCCCCTCTTGGACACCCCCCTCTTGGCCGCTCCCGACGAATTTGGTTCAGGGAATTTGTGTATTTGTTCTCTTCCGGGGAAGCCGTTTTGGCAGCCACGGGTTTGCAAGCCCTCGCCCAGCTTCCGAAGCGAGGGGAGAGAGAGGGTCGGGCCGGACGAAAGGGGGGATCGGGAAAGGGGGGGGGTACGAAGTCTGCTGCATGCAGCTGGTTTCGGCCCCACCGAGGGGCCCATTCCTCGGCGCCGGGAACATTAGCTACGTGAGCTGACTCTCACCCCCCCCCCTTGCTATCCCCCCCCTTCGCCCGGCCCGAGACGGGGGCGGGCCCCAGAGGCTCGTGGCCGCCGTGGGGCCGCCGCCGGGGCCCTCCAGGGGCCAGAGGCGGCTCGGGGCGAGAGCGGGTCCCCAGGAGAGGCCCCGTGGCCCATGCGCCACGAAAAGTGTACAGTCGGCCCAGATTACAGTGGGGGCGCGCATCAAGACACCATCTACTTTTCGTCAGGGCATCCTGGGTTTCTTTGCTCCGCGCTGCGCGGTGACTTCCCGCGGCCGTTCAGAAGCTGCTGCGTTCCGGGTGCTCCGGGCTTCCCCTCAGGTGCACTTCGCGTGCGAGTGTTCAGGGTTGGATTTCTTGCGATGGCTTCTTGCGACCGCGCCCGCACTGTAGTAGGTCGACCCTGCCAAATCAAGGGTGCCCTTAAGTACCCTTGTGTCCTGTGCCTCGCGACCCATGGCCTCCTACATCCCCCATGGCACTGTGGCCCTTGGAAGTGTCTTGTGTCCTCTCGCGCGTCCTGTCCAATCGACCCTGCCAAATCAAGGGTGCCCTTAAGTACCCTTGTGTCCTGTGCCTCGCGACCCATGGCCTCCTACATCCCCCATGGCACTGTGGCCCTTGGAAGTGTCTTGTGTCCTCTCGCGCGTCCTGTCCGATCGACCCTGCCAAATCAAGGGTGCCCTTAAGTACCCTTGTGTCCTGTGCCTCGCGACCCATGGCCTCCTACATCCCCCATGGCACTGTGGCCCTTGGAAGTGTCTTGTGTCCTCTCGCGCGTCCTGTCCGATCGACCCTGCCAAATCAAGGGTGCCCTTAAGTACCCTTGTGTCCTGTGCCTCGCGACCCATGGCCTCCTACATCCCCCATGGCACTGTGGCCCTTGGAAGTGTCTTGTGTCCTCTCGCGCGTCCTGTCCGATCGACCCTGCCAAATCAAGGGTGCCCCTTAAGTACCCTTGTGTCCTGTGCCTCGCGACCCATGGCCTCCTACATCCCCCATGGCACTGTGGCCCTTGGAAGTGTCTTGTGTCCTCTCGCGCGTCCTGTCCGATCGACCCTGCCAAATCAAGGGTGCCCTTAAGTACCCTTGTGTCCTGTGCCTCGCGACCCATGGCCTCCTACATCCCCCATGGCACTGTGGCCCTTGGAATGTCTTGTGTCCTCTCGCGCGTCCTGTCCGATCGACCCTGCCCCAATGGCTACTGTACCCTTGTGTCCCTTGGCCAAGTGTCTTGTGTCCTCTCGCGCGTCCTTCAATCGGACCTTGCCAAATCAAGGGTGCCCTTAAGTTGCCCTTGAGTCCTGTCCTCGCGAGACCCATGGCCTCCCTACATCCCCCATGGCACTGTGGCCCTTGGAAGTGTCCTTGTGTCCTCTCGCGCGTCCTGTCCAATCGACCCAGCCAAATCAAGGGTTCCCTAGTGGGTCCTCTCGACACCCAGGCCTCCTACATCCCCCATGGCACTGTGGCCCTTGGTAAGTTCTTGTGTCCTCTCGCGCGTCCTGTCCGATCGACCCTGCCAAATCAAGGGTGCCCTTAAGTACCCTTGTGTCCTGTGCCTCGCGACCCATGGCCTCCTACATCCCCCATGGCACTGTGGCCCTTGGAAGTGTCTTGTGTCCTCTCGCGCGTCCTGTCCAATCGACCCTGCCAAATCAAGGGTGCCCTTAAGTACCCTTGTGTCCTGTGCCTCGCGACCCATGGCCTCCTACATCCCCCATGGCACTGTGGCCCTTGGAACTGTGTCCTCTCGCGCGTCCTGTCCGATCGACCCTGCCAAATCAAGGGTGCCCTTAAGTACCCTTGTGTCCTGTGCCTCGCGACCCATGGCCTCCTACATCCCCCATGGCACTGTGGCCCTTGGAAGTGTCTTGTGTCCTCTCGCGCGGTCCAATCGACCCTGCCAAATCAAGGGTGCCCTTAAGTACCCTTGTGTCCTGTGCCTCGCGACCCATGGCCTCCTACATCCCCCATGGCACTGTGGCCCTTGGAAGTGTCTTGTGTCCTCTCGCGCGTCCTGTCCGATCGACCCTGCCAAATCAAGGGTGCCCAGTACCCTTGTGTCCTGTGCCTAAGTATGGCCTTGTGTCCTGTGCCTCGACCCGACCCATGGCCTCCTACATCCCCCATGGCACTGTGGCCCTTGGAAGTGTCTTGTGTCCTCTCGCGCGTCCTGTCCGATCGACCCTGCCAAATCAAGGGTGCCCTTAAGTACCCTTGTGTCCTGTGCCTCGCGACCCATGGCCTCCTACATCCCCCATGTCACTGTGGCCCTTGGAAGTGTCTTGTGTCCTCTCGCGCGTCCTGTCCGATCGACCCTGCCAAATCAAGGGTGCCCTTAAGTACCCTTGTGTCCTGTGCCTCGCGACCCATGGCCTCCTACATCCCCCATGGCACTGTGGCCCTTGGAAGTGTCTTGTGTCCTCTCGCGCGTCCTGTCCGATCGACCCTGCCAAATCAAGGGTGCGTTGACTTTAGGCTCGGGGAGGCTCGGGTCAGGGAACCATAATCATGACAGAAGGGGACGCCCGCGCGCGCTCGCAGGGACTGCGCGCATCAGAGCGCGCAATTGGATCGTGCGAGCAAAGCGCGTTGGCGACAGCGGTTGCTGTTGGTTTGTTTCTTGCTCGTGCGCTGCTTGATGGCCGGGCAGCGCGGAGAGCTCTTCATCGAAGAGCTCTTAGATTGGAGGGTCGATTCCTCCGAGCGCGAGTCCCTTTCTGCGCTCGTGCAGAGAGAGGGACTGGAGTCGGCTGGCGATTTAGCGCATTTGTTTTGCTCGACGGACGAGGCGGAGCAGTGTGGAGTGCCCACGGCCTGGGCCGTGGCTCGGGACGTGGCGCGGGTGACGCCGTGGCTGGTGCCCGCGCATGGCATTTGCGCGGAGGGGCGATTTGGCGGCGCGGCGGCGGCCGCCGCGCCCGCCGTGAGCGCGGGGGCCGCGGCGGGGAAAGGGCGTGGGCCTACCGCCGCGCGCCGCGGTCGGCCGAGACGCTGTGCCGCAGTGGCGACGGAGGCGGCAGAGCGTGAGGGGCGCGTTCAGCTGGCGGTCAGCGTAGTTCGAGTGTCGCTTGAATGGCGCCCGGAAAGCGGCCTCGGGCAGGGGTTGCAGGAGGCGCAGGCCGAGATGCTCGCCGACGTCTCGTCCGCGGCGGTGTTTAGGCTGAGTAATTTCGAAGCCGGGACGCTGCGCACGGCCTTGCGCGCGTGGGGGCAGTGGGCCGAGTGGGCGGGCCGGCAAGGGCAGCCGGCGACGAGTCTGGCGCGGCAACCCATGGCAGTCGCCGAGTTCGTGCATAAGCTCTCGATCGCACGGACGTCCGGCGTCAGGATCTGGAACGCCTTGAAGTGGATGTGCGTACATTTGAAAGCGCCTTTCTGCCTGGACGATGCGTTTCGCCCTGTGCCACGTGATCCAGGCAGTGGAACCGTAGCACCGCCGGCCCAGGCCACTGTCGTCGAACCCGAGATGATTTACCATGTGATCGATTTCCTGGATGGCGCGAGAACGCCTGGGCAAGTCATGCTCGCGGCTGGGATGCTGGCGGTGGTATTCGCGTGGGTGAGGTACACGCACCTGCTGCGCTCTAGGCCTTTAGAGAAGTCCTGTTTATTTTTGCTGGTTCCGCGCATCGAGGGGGAAGCAGGGAAAGCGACAGGGGCGACCTTCGTTCGATTGGTGCTTGCCGAGGCGGCTAGGTGGCGCGCGGTCCGCCGCTGACGCCTTGTGGGATGGTTGGCACAAGTTGGCGGCGCGGGAAGATCGAGCAGGAAGGGCTGTGCCGACGGGGCTCGTCTTCGATCCAGTTTCCGGCGCGCCGGTGAAGTTGGGTGCCTTTAACCGATCGCTGAAGGAAGTATTCCGAGGCTCGCTAGCGGACGATTCCCAGTTGGATCTTGTGACTTCGTACAGTTTGCGCCGGGCTGGGCCTACATGGGCGAGCGCGATACAATTGGACTGGGAAGCCCGAGTCATCTCGGGCGGTTGGACGGAGGGGGGAGACAACTCCCGTCGGAACCAGATGCCGATCGTGTATAATGCGCGTCGGCGGCAAGCCGAGATGTGCACGCGCCTGCACATGGCCGGAGTGTTGTCGTGCCTGCGGACCGATCTGGAGGCCCCAGTGCAGTGGGAGCAAGTGCGATGCTGGGCGAGTTCAGCGCCAGGAAAAGTAATGTTGGCCGACCTAGAGAAAGAGGCGCAGCAGCGGGTGGCGGTGTCGACCGTTCGTGAGAAGGCCGCGTTCTTGCCCCCGTCGGTCGTCGAGGAGTTGAGGCGGCAGAAGTTTCTCCGGATAATCGTGGCCCCGCGTGGACAGCGGGTGGGGCGCGGTAAAGCGCCGGGCGCGCCTCCACCCAATTGTCGGGGTCCTGCCGACGGGGGCGCCGCGGGTAAGAGCGGTGAGGGGGGGGCGGGCGCCGAAGCGCCGGGCGCGCGTGCGCGCGCTGC